TGTTGTCCACTTTTTGGACTTGTACTCATTTTGTTAGTAGCTCTGTACTAGTGACTTCCAGGTTCTGGGAGGGATCTTTATTTGTATATATGTTTTTGGTTTGCTTCCGCCTGTTTATATTGTTATTTGCCTACTCTTGTTTAGTTTCTACCCTCAGACCCATTACTTGTTGTTCCGGGTTACGGGTTGGCTTACCTACTGGTGGGTTATAGTAGGTGCCATCATGACTTGAGAAATCGGGTCGTGACAGATCAGATCAATTGAGATCACTTTTTGATTTATAAACCGATCATAATCGAACAACTCTGGAATTCTGACTCCGGGAAAAGAAATGACAAAATACCCCTTTGGTGGAAGTCACACTGCATGTCATAGAAATTATTATTACTACTAGAAATTAATTTGATGAGAATATTCAACATTCATATATGAGATAAAAACCTGGATGCATGTCCTGAGAAAATGCTATAGGAACACATTAGCTTGTTCACTTAAGACGGCTCCACAGTTGTATATTTCGAGCCTACACAGCTTAAGACAATTAATTACGAGATCTCTGATGCTCTTCAAGGTTAAATGATAATCTGCATATAGAACCGTTAAATTTGAGGGTAGCTCTCCTGGCAGTTCATTAAGATTCTGACAGAATTGTATGTTCAGGAAATGAACCCGTGAGAGTTTGTTGATGCTTTTGGGTAAACAAGAAATATTGCTTCCACTTACACACAAGTTTTTCAAAGAGTGCAAAGATTCTAAATCCTCAGGAAGTCCACTCAAGCCTAAAATTATCAGTTTCCCAAGCTTGGTGATGGAGAGAGGTGGTTGGTATATTGCAGTTTTGCCGGCATCAAGCATATATAACTCTTGCAAATCACCCATGTTTTCTGGAAGCTTCTCTAACTTTTTGCACCTGTAGAGGAAAAGACGTTTAAGATTCACAAATTACAGATGCTGTCTGGTAGACATACAAGATCTTCACAACCTTCTAGATGGAGAGATTCAAGGCCGCTCAGATTCCAATGGATGAAGGCACTTCTCTTATCCCAGTAGAATTCAGAGTCAGTTGTGTCAAGTAATGCATATCTCCATTGATTTGTGGAAATGTATCTAATTTTGGGGGATTAAATATCACGAGTCGTTGAAGGGATTCCATCTGAATAGAGCTTAGAAACTCCTCTAAGTTCTCACATCTATCTATCTCTAACCAACGGAGCTTCTTTGGAACTCCAAGTGATATGGGGAGCTTTACCAATCCAGAACATTGGTATATTTTAAGATATTCCAGTTGCTGTGATTCAAAGAGGTTGGTTGGCAGTGATGCAAGTTTATTGCAACCTGAAATACAGAGAGTTCTAAGATTTTGAATAGCGTCCGGAATACTTTCAAGAAATTCACAATTAGTCAATTCCAAATGTTTAAGGCTGTTGAAAGACGGGGGTAAGTTTCTTATCCAGGGGGATCCAACATAGAGTATTGATAAGCGCGGAATATCTCCACAGATTTCTGGAAATTCTTGTAAGCTTGTGCATTCAAGGAGATTGAGAGTCTCAAGAGATTCCATGCAGACAAATTTTGGAAGCTTCTTAAGTTTGCGACAACCTTCCAAACTCAAATAAGTAAGCATTCTGCAATGTCCAAGAGAGGAATGGACCTCTTCCAAATTCACACACCCCTCTAAATCTAGTGTCTCCAAGATTGGCATATCACCAAAATTAGGGGTTTTTGTTAACTCACAGCTGTCCCTGAAATCCAAATGCTTCAAGTTGCTCAATTTCTGTTTTCATTTTTTAAGAAAACGAAAAATCAGTTAGCTTAAGTAGTATTTGTAATAGAAATATTTTGTGGGTGAAAAAATAAAAAGAATAGAAGGTTTATTATGATCATTGAAGGCTGTAGGTAATGTGGAAAAGAGCTTTTGAGATACTTAATTGTCTTAACATCAAAATATATATTTCTTCTCTATTAATTTAGTAACGAAAATAAAACCTGTTTAATATTGGAAAAATATACCAAAAGCTGTAACAATATGGATCAAATGCCTAATATTTGTAGTTGGTACAGATATGTACGAAGCAAATAGAGCAAAGATACATTCAACAGTACAGCAGAAAAGAGACATAAATTTGTAGTATCGCATTATCATGAAAAGCACAGGGACTGCCGGATTGGGCTTATCGAAGGGTAAAATGTCAATTGTCTTGCATAATAAACAAGCGGAGCCTATTTTTGCAACAAAATAAAACACGGGGACAATATTTAATAGGCTTTCCACCTTTTCTGTTATCTGTATAGAATGAAGCATATATTTAATTGCTAACAAATAAAAATGGGACAAGAAAATTAACAGAACCAAGAGCTTACGAAATTATTAATTACATTAAATATTGCTTACCAACTTTCCTTTAAGAAGGTCAGAAACTTCCTCGGGAAGCCATATTCTGCTGTTAGCGTACTCTTCCCGTATGACATTTTCACCCATTTCTCTTATCATATTATGCATCACGATTCTATTATTCAGGTCGATGGATAACAGTGATTTTTCGATGAGGTGATCCATTATCAGTAGAAAACCATGACTCACGTCTCTTAGTACTAGTTCCACATAAAGACAAAAATTATAACCACCACAGTATGCAATATCTAGAAATAATTCCTTCTCATCTTCCAGACCATCAAAACTAATAGAAATATTTTATGGGGAAAAAAAAAGAGAAGAGAAGGTTGTTATGATCATTGAAGGCTGTAGAAAATGTGGAAAAAGAGGGAGTCCCCAGGTAATCTATCAACCAAAGCTAGAACAGACGGAAAAGAAATCACCTAGGGGTCGTTTGGTAGAGTGTATAAAAACAATGCTCAATAGGGTGTATTAGTAATGCTTGCATTAGTTATGTATAGATTATTTCTCATGCATTGTTTAGTTTGGAGTATTAAAAATAGGGATAATACATATATTGGACCTTAAACTTGGCTTCAAATTTTAACTTTGACCTCCAACTTTCATAGTGCACAAACAGACACTTTAACTATCCAACCTTTTAATAAATAAACACGCGTGTCTTACCTGGCAAAACGCGTGATGTGCACGTTTTTTGCGCGAGTCAGGAGTGATTTTTGAGGCCTACAACAGTAAAAAAAATGCTGAAATGACAACTCTACCCTTACTTAATTTTATTTTATTTTTAGTTCAAAAATGCACGTGTAAAGTGTTTAATTAGTTGGCAGCCATTGAGTGGCTCACTAATACACGTGGCAGCGATTGGATTTCACGCTCTTGGCTCCAAAAATCGCATGTTTATTTATTAAAAGGTTGGATAGTTAAAGTGTCTATTTGTGCACTTTGAAAGTTGGAGGTCAAAGTTAAAATTTGAAGCCAAGTTTAAGGTCCAATATATGTATTATCCCTATTTT